TTCAGGGCCTAGAAGACTGCAATGAAGTGGACGATATGAATGAAAAAGCTCGTGGAAACTGTCCATGCGGTCGGAGCTAAGTTCTGCAAGACCCGCCGCAGAAGAACACAAAAACTCTCCAAGCACACTCTTAATCTCATGGCTGTTAGACGGGAGATGAAGCTACATTCTTCAACAGATTTGACAGCATACAGGCAACTGAACAGACGGATCTCCAAATGCATGCGGCGGGACTTACGCAACTTCAATACAGCTTGTTTTGAAGAAGCGATCGAGCGGAACCCAGGCTCCAGTCTTTGCCAGAGATATGTCTGCCAGAAAGAGCCAACTGTCAAGGCTGAAGAGCAAGTGTGGCAGCATCGTTTCCGGGACACCTGAGATTTTGAGTGAGATTGAGAGGTTCTATGGGCAGCTGCACACGTCATCGTTGGAGCCACACGCAAGTGTGAGTAACGATCCAAGAGCTAGTGTTATCCGACACTATTCCGAAGATGTCCCGGACGTCAGTCTGAGCGAGATTAGAATGATTCTCCAACACCTTAAAAACGGCAAGTCCCCAGGCGAGGATAGAATTACAGCGGAGCTTTTGAAAGCGGGTGGAAAACCGCTAATTGAAGTCCTTCAGAAGCTCTTTAATTCCGTCCTCCATGGTGGTACTACTCCGGAGGCGTGAAGCAGAAGTGCGGTGGTCTTGTTCTTCAAGAAAGGCGACAATGCTCTTTTGAAGAACTACAGACCGATTTCCATTCTGAGCCGCGTCTACGTTCTGTTTTCGAGTCATTACGAAACGTTTCGCACGCAGACTTGACGACTTCCAGCCTCCCGAACAAGCCGGTTTTCGAAAAGGCTTTAGTACCATAGACCACATATATACCCTGCTGCAGATTGTACAGAAGACAGAGGAGTATAATCTGCCACTATGCCTTGCGTATGTGGACTATGAGAAAGCCTTTGATTCCGTCGAAATTTGGGCGGTGCTGCAGTCCCTTCAGCGGTGCCAAGTTGACTGTCGGTATGTCGAAGTGCTGAAGTGATTGTACAGTAGAGCTACGATGGCTATCAGAGTACAGAACCAGAGTACGAAACCTATCCAACTGCAGAGAGGTGTAAGACAGGGTGACGTTATATCCCCGAAACTCTTCACCGCTGCATTGGAAGACGTTTTCAAGCTACTGGACTGGAAAGGATGCGGTATTAACATCAATGGCGAGTACATCACTCACCTTCGATTTGCCGACGATATAGTCCTTATGGCAGAAGCGCTGAAGGACCTAAGCACTATGCTCAGTAGTGTCTCCCAACGAATAGGTCTTAAGATGAATATGGACAAAACAAAAATCATGTTTAACGTCTATGTCACACCTATGCCGGTAGTTGTTGGGAGCACTAAGCTCGAAGTTCTTGACGAGAATGTTTACCTGGGACAAATAGTCCGACTAGGTAAGTCCAACTTCGACCGAGAGGTCAATCGACGGATTCCACTCGGCTGGGCAGCGTTCGGGAAACTACAACAGATCTTCTCGTTAGACATACCTCAAAACCTGAAAACGAAATTGTAAACCAGTGCGTGTTGCCAGTGATGACTTACGGATCTGAGACGTGGTCATTCACTGCTGGCCGTATGAGGAAGCTCAAGGTCGCCCAGCGAGCTATGGAGAGGGCTATGATCGGTGTTTCTCTGCGTGATAAACTTAGAAATGAGTATATCCGCAGTAGAACCAGAGTAACCGACATAGCCCAACGGATTAGTAAGCTGAAGTGGCAGTGGGCCGGCCGCATAGTTCGAAGAACTGACAACTGATGGGGTAGAAAGGTTCTCGAGTAGCGAGGCTGCCACTCGAGAATCGGTAGGCGAAGTGTAGGGCGACTCCCACTAGATGGAGTGACGACCTGGTAAGACATGCAGGAAGTCGATGGATGCACGTGGCTCAGGACCGTGCTTTGTGGCATTCCTTGGGGGAGGCCTATGTTCAGCAGTTGACTTATGAAAGGCTGTAATGATGATGATGATGATGAAGGACTCTTTTGAAGGACCTTATACGTGGTAGTACCACGCTCTCACACAATACCAGCGTAAAATAGCAGCTTGACATTGCTGTGTTTTGTTTGGTGAGTGTAGAGTAACGGTGTGCTCGTTTGTCACCCAATCCTATAAAAAAGGACCTGGAAGCGGAATTATACTTATTTTTAAAAGCGCAGGTCTTTACATCCCGGGACGTCGATGCGTTAGCCCATAGGAAAGTTCCATACCCTGAAGTACCATATCAGCGATAGAATTAACAATAACGTTGGAATCGTCCAGCGAGAAGCAAACCCGCTGTAAAGTAGGATGCAAAGCAAGATCGCATCCTATCCCAATCGGCCGACCTGTAGTGCCAAACACGGTGGCAGCCTGCAGAATGCAACCGCGATGTTAGCGTGAGTGGCACCACACTCCGTATTAGACAATGGTCCGAGGAGCCAAGAGGGGCGTCGACGGAGATTTGATATCTGTCCGGATGAGTTCAGCAGAAGGTCCAACAGGGAAGGTGCGTGATCCTCCACATCTCGAATCCGCGTAGGTGAAGTAACCAGTTGTGTCAAACCATATGCCAAGGCAAAATCATGAATAGATCTCCCCGCATGATCGGTTAAACGTAAACGAGCCATTTGGCGTGGTGGGCGTTAAAATCGCCGAGGATCACGATCTCTGCGGGTGGGATCTGCTGTAGCAAGGAATCTGTAGCCATTTGGACGTGGTCGATGAGTCGGTCTGTTTCGGCATTACCGCTATGGGAACTATAGAGGCACCCGTAGACGCGCGGATGTTCGTCGCTGTCTACGCGAAGCGCGCGTATGATGGACAGGTTCGAACCGTCACGACTGCCGAAGCGTCGAGAACAGATGTCTTCTCTGACGTATACGTACACTCCAGCTCGAGACACAAGTGTTCTAATTTGACCCCGGACTTGATACTTGACTCAGATACGAAGTATGAGCCGGAGAGGACACCTGCATCTCGGTCAGAAAGAGCAAGGCCGCCTTCGCCGTCTCGAGATCGTAGTGGACGGCGTTTAGGTTCGAGTGAAGTCCCCTGATGTTGGGATCGCTTTGGTCTTGTTGCTCAGCTTTACCGTCTTGACCAGAAGTTGAATGTTGATGGGGGGAGGGGGAGGGAATTGGGCCTCCGGCCACCTGCACTCACCAGTATGGGTATATACTGGTGAGTGCAGGTGGCCGGAGGCGATACGTGCAACAGCAGAAGCTGCCACATGGCTCTTTTCTTCTTCAATGGAGAAAAAATTTAGTAAATACATACCTATCTTCATAATTCATTTATTTACTTATACCATTGTTTACATAAAAACTTAAATATTTATATTTTGCAACACTTGTCACATATCAATCATTATCAAGTTTGTGGCAAGCGTAAACTATGATAATTAGTTGATTGAATTAAATCGTAGCACTTATCTACGTAACAAAGAAAATGTGTGTGTGATGACACACACACATTTTCTTTGTTTGTAGTTTTTTATTGCAAACAAAATTATGACCTCTGTTGTGACTAGCGTTGCCACCGTTTTTTTTTTTGAATAAGTATAAATAGTATTTTACCCAAAAAAGATGCAAAAATATAGTACTTTTGGGAAATTCAGGAAAAGAAGTACACATTTATTTTAATCTTTATGTATATTTCTATACATATTTGTTAATGCTCTTCGCTTTGGCCATCAATAATTTATTACCTTTAAAATAATTTTAGGAATCTGAGCAATTTAAATAACTATATTTAATTTAATACATGCTCTATTTCTTTCTTCTCTACATTTTACAATAATGAGGGGAAAAAATCCATATTACTTACTTCTTGACTTCCAGTTGACAGTTAATGTAAAAAAGTGCGACAGTTGAATTAGGGATAAAAATATAGGATTTTTCGTACAATATTATTTTTCTACAATTACAATTGACTGAAATATAGTACGATATATTATAGTACGGGTGGCAACCCTAGTTGTAACTATGTAAATTAAAAAAAGTTAAATTTTAGTTAGATCATGCTTAAAAACATAATTATAGTTTTAATCAGAAGTAGGCAAGCATTATTTTGGCATATTTTCAATCGTCATCTATATTTATTTAAATGTCAAATAATAAACTAAGTCGAAAGTAATAAACTTAACGTATGTTTTTGTTTATTAAGATATTTTCCGTACAGAACGAAAGTATTCACAATATTATTTACATTATACAAGTACATATGTACAAAATTATATCTAAGAACTTTTTAGATGCCACATAATTAACATACCAGATAAGGTACAATAAGTTCAGGGTGATGATATTCTTTATTAAGTATCCTTTTTTGTGATATGATATAATACAATGCAAATGACGCATGAGAGAACAAACAACGATCGAAGTTTCTCTCTGTGATAAAATCCATAACAGGGATATCTGCAGCCATTCCAACGGAACCGACATAGCCGAATAGATTTGTAAGGTTAAGGTTTACTGTGATAACCGTGCGTAAAGTTCGAAGCAGCAGGGGAAAAGTTTTTTGAGTAGCCTAGTACTAGCATGCGAAGCGTAAGATGGCCACCTGCCACCTGCCACCGGCCACCAGTGACGACCTGGTGCAGCAAGTTGACGGAGATAAGTAATTAAGGCGCGTGTTTTATGGCAATCGTTGGAGGATTAAAGAGAGGGTAAGTGGTTTTGTGACGATGAGAACGTGAGCTTGCAGGCTAGAGATGATCTGAATGGTCAGGCTTGTCGGGCTGGTCTGGCTGATCTGTGTGAGCTGCGCAGGCTAGAGCTGGTCCGGCTGGTCTGGCTGATCTGTGTGAGCTGCGCAAGTTAGAGCTGGTCTCTCTGGTCTGTGTGAGCTGCACAGGCTAAAACTATTCTGGTTGGTCTGGCCTATCTAGGTGATCGGGCTAATCTGTATGAGCTGCGTAGGTTAGAGCTAGACTAGCTCTAACCTACGCAAGTTAGAGCTGGTCTGTTTGATCAGGCTAGAGTTGGTCTGGCTGGTCTGGCTGATCGGACTGGTCAATGTAGTGCGTGCCACCTCGTTCGCGTGGCTGCACGTAGTTGCGGCAGAGGGCGAAGAACTGCTGCGGCCTCAAGCTGCGCTTCGTGCTGTCAAACCTGCACCACACATGCAACACTTCTCAATAATTCTGTATTATAAAAAGTAATAATAAGTAGGTCTGTGAGGTGCTTTAGAAATGGCCTACAAATAATGGTTCCTGATCTGGATGTTCCATACAATTTGACGGTTACGTGGCGCAGTAGGTTAACAATGAGCTGCAACGCCAGGCCGCGGGTTCGAATCTTGAATTCGAAATTTGTATGGTCTAAACTAATAATTGTTCGTGGTCTGGATGTTTGTCATTGTGAAACCTGTGTATGTAAACTGGCCACGATACAGGAGAGTCAGATAAGAGGGAGAAAGGTGGAGGTAACGTTTTTCTATATGTAATATTCTGTGGAGCTGTGGAGTAGTCTTATAAAGACAATTTATAATATACGTAAAACGCTTTCACGATACAGAGGAAAATCTTAGTGTGGCAACCTTTACAATATGTAAAATATGTCAAGTTTAACAAATAACTAATAAAGAGCACTTCATAATAATGACCAGCGCACCGTTCTTCATTAATCCTTAACAGTCCAATGTTGAAAATGCTCCCAAGTAAGTCTTTTAAATTGCCATCATCGTTACTTTTGGTACTCGGATTGATAACCGCAATACCAGACGATTCGCACCTTTGACACTGACTGATGACGACACCTAGTGACGTCATCATTACCCGAGTAGAATTATGAAACCAGAAACCACGAGTACTCGCGCTTAGCTGCTGTGGAGCTGCAGAGGTACCGACCGCCAGCCCAGGTGCGCCATGCAGGACCCGCACACGGCAATGGTCCAGGCGTAGCCCGGGAACCGCGAGTACTCGCGCTTAGCTGCTGTGGAGCTGTGGAGCTGCAGAGGTACCGACCGCCAGCCCAGGTGCGCCATGCAGGAGCCGCACACGGCGATGGTCCAGGCGTAGCCCGGGAACCACGAGTACTCGCGCGACGGCCGACCACTCAGGTGCGTGTTGCTGGCACGCGATACCGTCACGATGTCGTGCATGTAGCCACCTGTGAATCATCACATCAAACATACAATCATAACGACGACTGCTCTTTCCTTCCCTACCTACGCATATGCCCCCGCCCGTGGGGGTAATGAAGGATTATGTCAGAATTACTCCACCAGAATCTTAATGGTATTTCACCTTAGCTTATATATATAGGGGATATTCCCTAACCTGCACTGTACTATTTTAAAAAGGAAACTCCAAATGACACTTACTAATAACGGGAGGGACAGCATTGTCTGAACAAAAGTACAGACTTTGTCTGAATCAACTGGACCAGTGCTGTATTGAATCTTTTAAGTAATGGGTAATTTGGCGAATTTTCGGAAATGAGTTGACAATGAGAAAGACCGATTAAAATTGTAATGTTACTGAAATGTCTATTCAACGTGACTCTAGTATAGATCTCTTCAAGTAAAGTGTGCAGACTGAGCTTCATTGCGGCGAATGTCAAGAAACGACATGATTACTACTCACTTGTGGAACATTCGGAATCACTTCTAATAAAAATATAAGTACATCTCTTCTACAAGGTGTAGAATAAAAGCATTCATTACTATTTGAACATCAAGTGAAATTACTCTTTAAAAAATAAATCATTATCATATAATTCTAAAACGTATAAATTTTCTATATTATATCATAATATATAAAAAGGGTGAAAAGTAAAGGACTCAAGAAAATCCTTGAGGTACTCCCGAAGTGGCACATTTTTTTACTATTATTCACAATAGATAACAAAATAATTACTTTATTACTTTATAATGAACAAAAATCTTTAAAAAGTATGCCTAATATTTAAAAAAATTGATTCGAGTTTGGTGATCTAATGTATCAGATACACTGCAATAATCTTTGTCAAAAGCATACTATAGGACACACACATTAACTCTCATATCTGTCACTCAGAGGAGTAGGCTACGGCTACTAGGCTGCAGCACTCTTAATTTGACCCGTCTTCAATATATCTCGAATTTGGTCCATAAACTTCCATATAGAGCATCCTGTACCGACTCTGTTATTTACTTCCGCAGCATAAATTTGCTTTGTCACTCTTTCCTTATTAATTCTTTTTACATACCACGCTACAGACAATAATTTGTTACCTATAAATGTCACCAAACCAATGTATTTGTTCCTCACATAAAACCATCGATTACTAATAAAAAACTAGATACACAATCAGTGACAAAAAATGTCCTTACCGAATAAGGTTGAATTTAAATTAATGTATATTTATTTCAAATATAATTACGTCAAAATAATTGGCGACAATTTTTAAAGAACTTTTGCATAGATAGGACTGTGTATCTAGTTTTTTATTAGTGATCGATACATAAACCAAATGCATTGTGTCTTGAACATTAAAACATAATAAAATAAAATAAGTTAAATTAAAATAAAGATAATAAAATGAACATTTTTATAACAATACATTAATACGAATTTGTAATCAAGTTGGTAAACGTAATATTATTAAATGTCAAAACAAAATGAAGTCATACAAACAAAAAATAAATTTAACAAATTTAAGTGAGACAGAGAGGAACTTCATGTTAAAATATCACCAAAAATAATCAAGAAACCCAAAATTAGTCGAGCCCTTCTTCATATTCTCCATACTCCATCAAACTTCTAAGCTTATATTAATTTTTGATATGCAGATAGATATTTCAAACAGTAAAGAACGTCTACAACAAACTACTCATAAAATGGTAAGTAAGTAAGTAGGTAAGTATGTGTTTATTTCTACAAATTAGTTTTATTTGGAAAAAAAATATTTTCCAATACAAAACCACAAGTTTACAGGTGATCTGATTTTAACTAGTTTCCTAAGATACTGGCTTCCCAGACGTTACCTAAGTTGGTGTAGTTGGAGTGCACACCATCACTCGACATTGCAAATATGTCTTCCCGTCTTGCGATCTCCGCCATGCACGATGAGCAACATAAAATACTTTTCTGTAAAGAAACACAATTCCTAAGCCAATTTCTTGAAATATGTTCAAAAAGAAAATTATTTATATTGAGCACTGCCGGCCTATCAACTGAGCACTGCCGGAAATGTGCTATTACTGTCGCATAAAAAATTTCCAAGCTTGGCAGATTTTTTATCGAATGCTAAGAGATCTCTTCGGAATTTCCCATAGTCGCCTCCTTATGTCTGTCGACACCCACGAGATGAAATGGTGATGGTGATATTCATGCACCGTCAATACATATTAAAGTATCAAGATTATTATAGATCAGCAATTTCAGCTCAGTAGGTAATAGAAAGTTTGTCACACTTATTTTTAAATCGTTAACAAATTTACAAATCTATGTTACCCAGGTTTTTATTTTCGTTTTGATTACTGTTTACTCTGTTTTAACCAACTTCAAAAAGTAGGAGCTTCACGTCGTGCGTCGTCGACGGCAAAGAGCGCGAGCGGTCGCGCACCTACAGCGGCTTAGCTTTACATTGACTCCCGTCGAGTTGGGGGTTGATACGATTTATATTTACATTATAAATGCAAACATGAAAAAAATATAGATATTTTAAAAATCTATTTTTTGGGAATCGACACATCAGCTTACAATTCCAATCTATTTAAAAAATCGATCTTTTTCGGAAAGAATCGACATCCCTACTGACAATAACAATAAAAAATGGCATCAGTTTTATTGTAGGATTAGACATAAGTAATGCAAGAATAATTGATTTTCAATAACTTTTTTCTCAAAAATTACGCGCTTCCCATGTTGTAACTTTGTGTGTGTGCTTATAATAGTGTAACTTTTCTGTAAAAATACGTATCAACCCCCAACTCGACGGGAGTCAATGGAAAGTCGTACCCTACAGCGCCACACACGCACAGCACACACACACACGCGCGCGCGCACGCACGCACACGCGCACTCACACACACACACACGCACACACACGCACGCACACGCACACGCACACACACACACACACACGCACCCGTGCTATGAAGCGCAGCTCCATGTGCAAGCGCAGCAGCGCGTCGTCGACGGTGAAGAGCGCGAGGCGGTCGCGCGCCGACAGCGCCAGGTTGGCGCCACACACACGCACACACACGCACACACATGCACACACACACACGCGCACCCGTGCTATGAAGCGCAGCTCCATGTGCAAGCGCAGCAGCGCGTCGTCGACGGTGAAGAGCGCGAGGCGGTCGCGCGCCGACAGCGCCAGGTTGGCGCCACACACACGCGCGCACACACATACACACACACACGCACCCGTGCTATGAAGCGCAGCTCCATGTGCAAGCGCAGCAGCGCGTCGTCGACGGTGAAGAGCGCGAGGCGGTCGCGCGCCGACAGCGCCAGGTTGGCGCCACACACACGCACACACACGCACACACATGCACACACACACACGCGCACCCGTGCTATGAAGCGCAGCTCCATGTGCAAGCGCAGCAGCGCGTCGTCGACGGTGAAGAGCGCGAGGCGGTCGCGCGCCGACAGCGCCAGGTTGGCGCCACACACACGCACACACACGCACACACATGCACACACACACACGCGCACCCGTGCTATGAAGCGCAGCTCCATGTGCAAGCGCAGCAGCGCGTCGTCGACGGTGAAGAGCGCGAGGCGGTCGCGCGCCGACAGCGCCAGGTTGGCGCCACACACACGCGCGCACACACATACACACACACACGCACCCGTGCTATGAAGCGCAGCTCCATGTGCAAGCGCAGCAGCGCGTCGTCGACGGTGAAGAGCGCGAGGCGGTCGCGCGCCGACAGCGCCAGGTTGGACGCCACCCAGAACGACAGCGACACCGGCTCCTCCGGAACGCGGTCTGCACATGGCATTGCACCTTTATTTAATTATTTACACTTTATAGTTTACAACATAGATTTAGTATACTCACAGTTAGATTAGCAATATAAAAGAGATAGGGCATAGCATATATCGGGCTGACGTCAATCATTAATGAAACAAATCCCGCTTTTTTGCGCGTTATCTTTTGATTTTGAAGTATTAATAAGTGTTTAAAAGGCTTAGCTTTCCATTGACGTCAGTCGACTTGGGTGTTGATACGTATTTTTACAGAAAAGTTACACTATTATAAGCACACACACAAAGTTTCAACATGCGGAAACGCGTAATTTTTAAGAAAAAAATTATTGAAAATCAATTATTCTTGCAATGTTTATATCTAATTCTACTGTAAAATTGGCGCCATTTTGTAATGTCATTGTCGACGTCAATACGGATGTCGATTCTTTCCGAAAAAGGTCGATTTTTAAATCGATTCAAATCGTAAGCTGATGTATCGGTTCACAAAAATCGATTTCTAAAATATCTATATTTTTTTAATGTTTCTATTTATAACGTAAATATAAACCCATTTTATGAAAAACAAGAAAGATACCATGATAAATGATCTCTTATTGAAATTCGTTTTATTTAACAGTACCTATTAGGGCAGATAACAAATAAAATAGGTTAGGTTCAACTTATGTCAAAGAACCGAATTGATTGACCCCGACTCCACCTGGTACGAGTCTGTCCTACCCCTAGAGTGGTTTTATAGAGTCGGAGGCGCGTAGGGGGAGCAGCTTCCGCCTGCTCCTCGCCTCCGCAGCTTCGGCTTGTTGGTCGCCTTCGGCGACCAGCCTCAGCCGCTCCGGCTCGTCCGATGCCTACGATTTGTTACGCTAAGGCGTAGAGGCTGCTCTTCCCGCAGCGCCGGAGACGTAGCAGTCTCAAAATAGATACAGAAATCCTTCTGAATCAGTCCCCTTATTCTTACTGACAATAATAATAAAAATGGCGTCAGTTTCACGGTAGGAATTGACTAAATATTGCAAAATTATTTGATTTACAATATTTTTTTCTCAATAAGTCAGTATTTCCGCATATTGAAACTTTGTGTGTGTGCTTATAAAAATGTAATCTTTCTGTAAAAATACGTATCAACACCAAACTCGACTGACGTCAATGGAAAATCGTACCGTTTAAAAGGTATGATTAAATATGGTGACGTGTGCAGTACCTCAATGCAGTTCATCGAGAAAACAAAAACCACATAATAATACATTTTACACGTAAGTACAATTAAAATATTTAGACTCTAAATGCAATATTTTAGAACTGATAAAAATGATTTATACACAAATGGATAAGGAAAAATTTCGTATTTTGTTACGATAATGCTCAAAATGCGTAAGAATTATATTAAAAATAATAAATACGTGAATTCCCGCTATTTCTGATTAAATGTAAGTAGACATTGACACATCAATTGATATAAAATATCATCATATCGATAATGTTTATAACAGGCAAAGACATATCATTCGATGCAGCCTATTGTAACTTCGTGATATTTTTTTAATTTTCTATTTTTATTTTTTAGGGCTTCGTAGGCAAATGGCATTATAGCAAATACTTTAATGAGATAATTTAAACTTTAATAATGTATCAGATTTCCAAAAAATATTGAGGTTAAAAATGAAAAAAATATTATAAATAATAAATAGAGAAGACTGGGTTTCCAAAAAATATTCAACTATATGTAGCAAGCACTTTGAACATAAATGTTTATTTTTTCATAGAAGTACACAAAAAGTAAAGGTGTGTTCCGGTTCAACACCCACACACGGAACTGAGACGTGGTCCTTCACTACTAGCCGTATGAGGAAGCTCAAGGTCGCTTAGCGAGCTATGGAGAGGGCTATACTCGGGGTTTCTCTGCGTGATAAACTTAGAAATGAGGATATCCGCAGTAAAACCAGAGTGACCGACATAGCCCAACGGAGTAGTAAGCTGAAGTGGCAATGGGCCGGCCATATAGCTCGAAGAACCGACAACCGATGGGGAAAAAAGGTTCTCGAGTGGGGGAAAAAAGGTTCTCGAGTGGCAGGAAGACGATGGATGCAGGTGGCTTAGGACCGTGCTTTGGGGCATCACTTGGGGGAGGCCTATGTTCAGCAGTGGACTTGTGAAAGGCTGTAATGATGATGATGACGATGATTGCAACTCCAATCAGCTTGTACAGTTCAGCCTTTCTTTCAAAAATGTACGGAACACTAACATGGATGAAACGAAATTCTTGATGTTTGTTTCCCAGTTTTAGGATAACAATAGGCTTACAATATTATAACAAACAAATTTAACAAATAATTTTAGAAAATTCGGCCAATTACAGTTATCCACTAACTGTATTCGATAAGGATATGTGTTAACCAAAAAAATTTAATCAAATTATATCTTTGTTATTGACTATGATTTTTGCGGAAGTCAAATCCAAACCCTATTTTATTCTTGCTATTAATGTTGTAAGGCTAGACAGTGAAACGGTCATTCGTAGATCAACAGTGTGATGCAACTCTGTATGAAACCCGATAAAGTTGTACACAATCATAGTTTTGCCTATGTGGATTGGGCGTATAAAATTAAAGCGAGAAAAAGGTATCGCTGTTTCTTTCTTTCGCATTGTTTCAGATTACCTTTTTGAAAATTAGATACAAAAATACATATTATATCGGAAGAAGCTGAAAATATTAATTCCGTGTTAATTTTTTTTTGTTTGCTCATTAGAGTATAATTAATTACATACATATTACTCTGAGATTTGCACAATTAATTCACCTATTAATTGATTAACATTAAATTATTAAATATTAGCAGAATTCTGTTAAAAGAAGCCATGAATCAAAAGAAGAAAAAAAAAAGACATTTGTTTGTCAACGTCTTTCATGGTGAAAATATTTTCTGAAATTTATTTCATAGGTTTAAATTTTAATATTTATTATTGCTTTTTGCTTCAATTCAGTTATTATCGTTTCAGAATACTTCAATTTTGTTAGTAGGCATTTCCTTGCTTGTAATATAAAGATTTTTTGTGATATTGACTATGTATGAGATATTGACTATAAATTAATTCATTATTTTAAAATTTTATGCACGATGTGTGATCAGAATAGAAAGTAAGTTAAGTGTTGTGCAAAGAAAAAGCAAAAAATGATCTTATCACTCCGCAGGTTTCCTACGATAGAAGAAAAACTTATGACAATATTATGGTAAATCTTTAGGCATTTTGAATTTATTGATCATTATTTGTAGGGATTATTACTATATTGACTCGAATTGTATCCGTTTCAGAACATGTATTTGGGCTGAGTTACGTTTCCACTATGAGAATTAAGCTGATTAAAATTTTCGTTCATGTTCTGTGAAGAATAACTCTCACGATAACATATGTTATATATCAATATTACGCGTGGAAATATTGTCTGCAAAAGCAATAAAAAACATCAATAATAATATATAGTGTATAAAATAATCTGTCTTCCAAAAAATTAAATTACATAACTATTCCTATTTTTTCTTTTATTTTATTCCACATACTCATCTAAAGTAAATTCGAGTAATTTTGGCTCGAATGTATAGGAATTCACCCAATAGGTTTATGAGGCTCGAGCCAAAATTACTCGAATTGCCTTAAATAAACAAAAAGTTTAAAAGTTACAGAATACAAGGGTTTGAAATTCCCACTAAAAAAGTTTAATGGGCGCCCACCGTAGCGTTTGTAGTGTATACTCATAAACACGTGCTTCCTTTTATTAGAATGAACTTCACGATGAAGAAGTCAGGGGCGTTTTCGTATTTGAACGCAAACCGATATTTATCCGATTTCAGATTTCAAAATCCATTTTTAAATATCCGATTTCAGTATCGCCAATTCGTTTGCGTACTTAGATTTCGTTTTATAAGTTAACGAAACGACAAACGCAAATGTAATACAGAAACAGATTAGCGCGATTATCCTTCATGCTTTAACATAGGCTTAGGACTAACAGAAGTTTTGTATGAAATTAAAACCTTTCCGGCGCATTTAAAAATCGGCATATTTACAATGATTTCTTAATATATTTTTGTTTTGTTTTTAGTTTTGTTTTCGAATCTATTTGGATCAAGGTTTGCGTTTAAAATCGCAATTTGCTCCAATTTTGAAGACTTTAGACAACATCTCTTGTCATTTATTAAGTCCTGTCTTGGAAAAAAGTCGTTCGCACGGAACGGAAGTCGCAACAATATTGCATTTTGTGCGATATATTTCCGACAAGTGCGGATAAATTATTTTATGGTTCTCGCCACCACTGCGAGGGGCTATTCCAATTACCTTCAGTATTTTTTCATGCTAGCATCTCGTCGTCAATATACATTTGTAACTCAGGTATTGCTCTTGCTTCAGCGCTTCCTTGTGGCTTATTTTTTTTTAACAAGTCATCAAATTTGTCCGCGGCACTGAGATTTTGGCGGGGCTTTTCTTGAACTTCATCAGTGCTTGCTTCCGAATTTGTATTCTTATTTATAACTTTTATAATATAAAGTATATTATTAAGCCATGGACATAACTTTTTAATTCGGTGGCCGCATTTCCGTTCTTAAAACGTACAAGTTTAAACCGTGGGTCCAACATGTGCACACTCCGAAGGTCTTGCTGTGTTCTATTCCCTGAATTCTACCTGTCAATCCGTATTTTAAGCTCCGTATTACGCCAATCACAACTGGATTAAATGATGCAAAATATTTTTCTTTGTTAAGAAAATCTTCACAAATATCCTTCAAGCAGTTGGTTATGACGATAAACATACTTCCTGTGAGGTACTGATCTCCACTTACTAAAGAAGTGACTTCTTCAAATGTCTGGAGTAGTTTGCATACGTCTTCCATTATGTTCCACTCCTCCTTAACGTATATTCGGCCATTCTCTTTCTATAAGAGTCATGTCTGTTCAACGGCTTTAGTAATATGAAACGGCGAAACATAAAAAATGTAGAGTTCTACCTTGTAGATACTTGTTGGATTAACCGATATGGTTCTCCACAATCAACCATGTTTTTTAATTCTTATCTAAAAAGCATATCCGTTTTATTCGTGGTAGAGTCCTGCTGCAGCTATATTAGTATAGTTGTAGCAAGAATGGGTCGGCTCGACCGGAGAAGGACTACGCTCCCACGGAATACCAGCGTAAAATAGCAGCTTAACACTGCTGTGTTTCGTATGGTGAGTGTAGAGAACCGGAGACCATTTTTACTAGAAAAGAGGCATTTCATCTTAGTCCTCACGGGTGACAACGCATCTGCATTTTGATTCGCAAACGAAGATAAATGTAGATGTCTATGGGCCACAGCAACCACTTCCATCAGGTGGACTATGTGCTCGTTTGTCACCCTATCCTACAGAAAAAAAAAATTGTACTACGTTTAAAATGTGCCACTATTTTCTATTAATTCTTCCAATGGTCTTAGAGCCCCCGACACGATCAAATTAAGGGAATGGGCATAACAGATATAATGCTTTCACCCTAGCTCTGTCTTTATTGCTTCGATAATATTTCGAGCATTGTCTGAAATGGCAAAATTAACTTTGTATTAAATTCCATTCGTCCGTTACTCTATTTAATTCCTTAGCTAAATTGGTACTCGTGTGAGTTTCTTGTCAAACTATTGTGTCTGTAAATCGGATAGTGAAAGTGTTAAATTTATAGAGAACGTAACCTTAAGAGACAAAAGGTAAGTGTGTAAAATGAGTTACCGAGCATTATGGACTTGAAGTAGTCGCAAATGAGGTCCCGCATGCGTCGGAAGTCGAACGCGTCGTACACGAAGCGCGGCCACGGATTTATAGAGAACGTAACCTTAAGAGACAAAAGGTAAGTGTGTAAAATGAGTTACCGAGCATTATGGACTTGAAGTAGTCGCAAATGAGGTCCCGCATGCGTCGGAAGTCGAACGCGTCGTACACGAAGCGCGGCCACGGATTTATAGAGAACGTAACCTTAAGAGACAAAAGGTAAGTGTGTAAAATGAGTTACCGAGCATTATGGACTTGAAGTAGTCGCAAATGAGGTCCCGCATGCGTCGGAAGTCGAACGCGTCGTACACGAAGCGCGGCCACGGATTTATAGAGAACGTAACCTTAAGAGACAAAAGGTAAGTGTGTAAAATGAGTTACCGAGCATTATGGACTTGAAGTAGTCGCAAATGAGGTCCCGCATGCGTCGGAAGTCGAACGCGTCGTACACGAAGCGCGGCCACGGATTTATAGAGAACGTAACCTTAAGAGACAAAAGGTAAGTGTGTAAAATGAGTTACCGAGCATTATGGACTTGAAGTAGTCGCAAATGAGGTCCCGCATGCGTCGGAAGTCGAACGCGTCGTACACGAAGCGCGGCCACGGATTTATAGAGAACGTAACCTTAAGAGACAAAAGGTAAGTGTGTAAAATGAGTTACCGAGCATTATGGACTTGAAGTAGTCGCAAATGAGGTCCCGCATGCGTCGGAAGTCGAACGCGTCGTACACGAAGCGCGGCCACGGCGTCAGCGCCGCGTCCAGGGCGCGCAGCCGCCGCTCCAGCCTGCGCTAACCACTTCGCTAACACGAGCTAGAACCATGCTGCAGCTATGTTATGCTTGTAGCACGAATAGGTAAAATGCAGCTTAATATTGTTGTGTTGCGTATGCTGAGTGTAGAGAACCGGATACCCTTATTACTGCGAACGAGCCATTCCATCTTTGTCCTCAAGGTTGACAACGCATCTGCATTTTTATTCTTAATTGACGATACACAGCATCCAGTTATTGCCAGCATACATCTCATCGCATAGTATCTCATCAGTTGGACTGTGTGGATTTTGTCAACCTTAATCTATAAAAAATATATTGTTCAGCTCTGAACATTGCGACGCAGCGACACTGTGACTTATGGTAGGGCTAGACTCTAGGTAGATATAAGGAACTTAGTTAGGGTCTAAAATTCCTACTATATTCATGTGTAGTTATATACTCGAGCTATCGAGGGGAAACTAGGTTAACATTTAAACAAACAACTACTTAACTGTACGTTGTAGTGTATTTTTGTTAGGGTGAATGGTAAAAAATTATGTTATTCCTTTAAACGTTTATAAGAGCGTGAGTGTGCGCGTGTGCATGTGCGTGCTAATGCGTGCGTACGTGTGCGTGCGTTCGTGTGAGTGTGTGCATATGCGTGCTTGTGCGTGCGTACGTGTGCGTGCGTTCATGTGAGTGTGCGCGTGGGCGTGTGCATGTGCGTGCTAGTGCGAGCGTACGTGTGCGTGCGTTCGTGTGTGTGCATGTGCGTGCTAGTGCGTGCGTACGTGTGCGTGCGTTCGTGTGAGTGTGCGCGTGGGCGTGTGCATGTGCGTGCTAGTGCGTGCGTACGTGTGCGTGCGTTCGTGTGTGTGCATGTGCGTGCTAGTGCGTGCGTTCGTGTGAGTGTGTGCGTGGGCGTGTGCATGTGAGTGCTAGTGCGTGCGTACGTGTGCGTGCGTTCGTGTGTGTGCATGTGCGTGCTAGTGCGTGCGTACGTGTGCGTGCGTTCGTGTGAGTGTGCGCGTGTGCATGTGCGTGCTAGTGCGTGCGTACGTGTGCGTGCGTTCGTGTGAGTGTGTGCATGTGCGTGCTAGTGCGTGCGTACGTGTGCGTGCGTTCGTGTGAGTGCGTGCGTGTGCATGTGCGTGCTAGTGCGTGCGTTCGTGTGAGTGTGTGTATATGCGTGCTTGTGCGTGCGTACGTGTGCGTGCGTTCGTGTGAGTGTGCGCATGTGCGCGTGCATGTGCGTGCTAGTGCGTGCGTACGTGAGCGTGCGTTCGTGTGAGTGTGTGCATGTGCGTGCTAGTGCGTGCGTACGTTTGCGTGCGTTCGTGTGAGTGTGCGCGTGCATGTGCGTGCTAGTGCGTGCGTACGTGTGCGTGCGTTCGTGTGAGTGTGTGCATGTGCGTGCTAGTGCGTGCGTACGTGTGCGTGCGTTCGTGTGAGTGCGTGCGTGTGCATGTGCGTGCTAGTGCGTGCGTTCGTGTGAGTGTGTGTATATGCGTGCTTGTGCGTGCGTACGTGTGCGTGCGTTCGTGTGAGTGTGCGCATGTGCGCGTGCATGTGCGTGCTAGTGCGTGCGTACGTGAGCGTGCGTTCGTGTGAGTGTGTGCATGTGCGTGCTAGTGCGTGCGTACGTTTGCGTGCGTTCGTGTGAGTGTGCGCGTGCATGTGCGTGCTAGTGCGTGCGTACGTGTGCGTGCGTTCGTGTGAGTGTGTGCATGTGCGTGCTAGTGCGTGCGTACGTGTGCGTGCGTTCGTGTGAGTGCGTGCGTGTGCATGTGCGTGCTAGTGCGTGCGTACGTGTGCGTGCGTTCGTGTGAGTTTGTGCATATGCGTGCTTGTGCGTGCGTACGTGTGCGTGCGTTCGTGTGAGTGCGCGCGTGTGCGCGTGCATGTGCATGCTAGTGCGTGCGTACGTGTGCGTGCATTCGTGTGTGTGCGCGTGCATGTGCGTGCTAGTGCGTGCGTACGTGTGCGTGCGAGTGTGCGCGTGTGCGCGTGCATGTGCGTGATAGTGCGTGCGTTCGTGTGAGTGTGCGCGTGTGCGCGTGCATGTGCGTGCTAGTGCGTGCGTACGTGTGCGTGCGTTCGTGTGAGTGTGTGCATGTGCGTGCTAATGCGTGCGTACGTTTGCGTGCGTTCGTGTGAGTGTGCGCGTGCATGTGCGTGCTAGTGCGTGCGTACGTGTGCGTGCGTTCGTGTGAGTGTGTGCATGTGCGTGCTAGTGCGTGTGCGTGCGTTCGTGTGAGTGCGTGCGTGTGCATGTGCGTGCTAGTGCGTGCGTACGTGTGCGTGCGTTCGTGTGAGTTGTGCATATGCGTGCTTGTGCGTGCGTACGTGTGCGTGCGTTCGTGTGAGTGCGCGCGTGTGCGCGTGCATGTGCGTGCTAGTGCGTGCGTACGTGTGCGTGCGTTCGTGTGAGTGTGCGCGTGTGCGCGTGTATGTGCGTGATAGTGCGTGCGTTCGTGTGAGTGTGCGCGTGTGCGCGTGCATGTGCGTGCTAGTGCGTGCGTACGTGTGCGTGCGTTCGTGTGAGTGTGCGCGTGCATGTACGTGCTAGTGCGTGTGTACGTGTGCGTGCGTTTGTGTGAGTGTGCGCGTGTGCGCGTGCATGTGCGTGCTAGTGCGTGTGTACGTGTGCGTGCGTTTGTGTGAGTGTGCGCGTGTGCGCGTGCATGTGCGTGCTAGTGCGTGCGTACGTGTGCGTGCGTTCGTGTGAGTGTGCGCGTGCATATGCGTGCTAGTGCGTGCGTGCGTTCGTGTGAGTGTGCGCGTGCATGTGCGTGCTAGTGCGTGCGTACGTGTGCGTGCGTTCGTGTGAGTGCGTGCGTGTGCATGTGCGTGCTAGTGCGTGCGTACGTGTGCGTGCGTTCGTGTGAGTGTGTGCATATGCGTGCTTGTGCGTGCGTACGTGTGCGCGCGTTCGTGTGTGTGCGCGTGCATGTGCGTGCTAGTGCGTGCGTACGTGTGCGTGCGTTCGTGTGAGTGTGCGCGTGTGCGTGCTAGTGCGTGCGTTCGTGTGAGTGTGCGCGTGCATGTGCGTGCTAGTGCGTGCGTACGTGTGCGTGCGTTCGTGTGAGTGTGCGCGTGCATGTGCGTGCTAGTGCGTGCGTACGTGTGCGTGCGTTCGTGTGAGTGTGCGCGTGTGCGCGTGCATGTGCGTGCTAGTGCGTGCGTACGTATGCGTGCGTTTGTGTGAGTGTGCGCGTGTGCGCGTGCATGTGCGTGCTAGTGCGTGCGTACGTGTGAATGCGTTCGTGTGAGTTTGTGCATGTGCGTGCTAGTGCGTGCGTACGTGTGCGTGCGTTCGTGTGAGTGCGTGCGTGTGCGTACGTACGGGTCGTGATGCGAGCGCAGCGGGTCGAGGCTGGCGAGGCGCACGCGGCGCGTGTGCGTGTGCATGTGCGTGCTAGTGCGTGCGTACGTGTGCGTGCGTTCGTGTGAGTGTGTGCATGTGCGTGCTAGTGCGTGCGTACGTGTGCGTGCGTTCGTGTGAGTGCGTGCGTGTGCGTACGTACGGGTCGTGATGCGCGCGCAGCGGGTCGAGGCTGGCGAGGCGCACGCGTCGCGTGTGCGTGTGCATGTGCGTGCTAGTGCGTGCGTACGTGTGCGTGCGTTCGTGTGAGTGTGTGCATGTGCGTGCTAGTGCGTGCGTACGTGTGCGTGCGTTCGTGTGAGTGCGTGCGTGTGCGTGCGTACGGGTCGTGATGCGCGCGCAGCGGGTCGAGGCTGGCGAGGCGCACGCGGCGCGTGTGCGTGTGCATGTGCGTGCTAGTGCGTGCGTACGTGTGCGTGCGTTCGTGTGAGTGTGTGCATGTGCGCGCTAGTGCGTGCGTACGTGTGCGTGCGTTCGTGTGAGTGCGTGCGTGTGCGTACGTACGGGTCGTGATGCGCGCGCAGCGGGTCGAGGCTGGCGAGGAGCACGCGGCGCGTGTGCGTGTGCATGTGCGTGCTAGTGCGTGCGTACGTGTGCGTGCGTTCGTGTGAGTGTGTGCATGTGCGCGCTAGTGCGTGCGTACGTGTGCGTGCGTTCGTGTGAGTGCGTTCGTGTGCGTACGTACGGGTCGTGATGCGCGCGCAGCGGGTCGAGGCTGGCGAGGCGCACGCGGCGCGTGTGCGTGTGCATGTGCGTGCTAGTGCGTGCGTACGTGTGCGTGCGTTCGTGTGAGTGTGTGCATGTGCGCGCTAGTACGTGCGTACGTGTGCGTGCGTTCGTGTGAGTGCGTGCGTGTGCGTACGTACGGGTCGTGATGCGCGCGCAGCGGGTCGAGGCTGGCGAGGCGCACGCGGCGCGTGTGCGTGTGCATGTGCGTGCTAGTGCGTGCGTACGTGTGCGAGCGTTCGTGTGAGTGTGTGCATGTGCGTGCTAGTGCGTGCGTACGTGTGCGTGCGTTCGTGTGAGTGCGTGCGTGTGCGTACGTACGGGTCGTGATGCGCGCGCAACGGGTCGAGGCTGGCGAGGCGCACGCGGCGCGTGTGCGTGTGCATGTGCGTGCTAGTGCGTGCGTACGTGTGCGTGCGTTCGTGTGAGTGTGTGCATGTGCGCGCTAGTACGTGCGTACGTGTGCGTGCGTTCGTGTGAGTGCGTGCGTGTGCGTACGTACGGGTCGTGATGCGCGCGCAGCGGGTCGAGGCTGGCGAGGCGCACGCGGCGCGTGTGCGTGTGCATGTGCGTGCTAGTGCGTGCGTACGTGTGCGAGCGTTCGTGTGAGTGTGTGCATGTGCGTGCTAGTGCGTGCGTACGTGTGCGTGCGTTCGTGTGAGTGCGTGCGTGTGCGTACGTACGGGTCGTGATGCGCGCGCAGCGGGTCGAGGCTGGCGAGGCGCACGCGGCGCGTGTGCGTGTGCATGTGCGTGCTAGTGCGTGCGTACGTGTGCGTGCGTTCGTGTGAGTGTGTGCATGTGCGCGCTAGTGCGTGCGTACGTGTGCGTGCGTTCGTGTGAGTGCGTGCGTGTGCGTACGTACGGGTCGTGATGCGCGCGCAGCGGGTCGAGGCTGGCGAGGCGCACGCGGCGCGTGTGCGTGTGCATGTGCGTGCTAGTGCGTGCGTACGTGTGCGTGCGTTCGTGTGAGTGTGTGCATGTGCGCGCTAGTGCGTGCGTACGTGTGCGTGCGTTCGTGTGAGTGCGTGCGTGTGCGTACGTACGGGTCGTGATGCGCGCGCAGCGGGTCGAGGCTGGCGAGACGCACGCGGCGCGTGTGCGTGTGCATGTGCGTGCTAGTGCGTGCGTACGTGTGCGTGCGTTCGTGTGAGTGTGTGCATGTGCGCGCTAGTGCGTGCGTACGTGTGCGTGCGTTCGTGTGAGTGCGTGCGTGTGCGTACGTACGGGTCGTGATGCGCGCGCAGCGGGTCGAGGCTGGCGAGGCGCACGCGGCGCAGCGGCGCGCCCGCCTGCACCTCGCCCAGCACCACCACCTCCGCGAATCGCATCCTGCCCCACCACACACTTACTTACTTCTCATTCATTACACAAATTACTAAATATATAATTATCAGGTTTCAAGCCGTTGAGACCCTAAAGCAAGGGTCGGCATGTAGTTTTAGGTGGGGTCCGGATACCGTGGGAAAATTTTAACAAGGTCCAGAAAAAAACAACTGATAATAATTAAGTACTATATATTATTTTAGTGTCAAATCAAATTCTGAATTATAAAACACAAGACGTAAAATTAATGTAAGAAACTACACCGACGGTCTGGAGCCAGTTTTTTATAGTTTGGTTCTCGAGAGGAACAGCAAATTCGAAGTGTGCCTTCTAGATGGGCGTCCGTTAATCTCGAACGATATTTGTTTTTCAATAAATGCATCTTTGAGAAAGATGTTTCACATACGTATGTCAAGCCAAATATAGTGGCTAAATTTATAGCTAGTTTCTTGCAATTTTCATATTTTTCTGGGACATGTTTGGTCCAAAATTCTTCAGTGGATACCGTTTTGTACATTTGCATCGACAAATCTTCTTGCAAATCAATTATCTCCATTTGAAGTGATGGCTTTGACAGATTAAACAACTTGGCAGCCACATCTGTCCATTCTGCTGCTACATCAACTTCAAATGGCGATTTAAGAAACGGAGATAGCTTGCTCACCTCTGCAAAGTCTTGGAATCTTGTAGCAAATTCGTCCTTAAGATCGGCCAGAAATTTTACAAACACTGCAATGTCTTCTACAGAGTTCTCCTTTTTATATTCAAGAATTGTCGGAAAATGAATAAATTCTTGTCTTGCAATATCTTTTTCAAAGATATCCAGCTTGCGACGAAAAGCAGACACGTTTTGTATCAGATCACATATTAATTTTCCATTTCCTTGCAACTCTGTGTTGAGCGCATTTAAATATTTCAAAATATCTTTTAGAAAAGCCACAATCAGCATATTACGCTTGTTTTTTATGAACTCAAAGTGAGGTTACATGTTCTTTTATTGGCCAGAAACGTTCAATAACTTGACCTTTACTTACCCAACGAACGTTGTTGTGTTGCAGTAAGTCAGAATACGCTGAATCACATTCAGAAAGAAACTCCTTGAAATAACGGTGCTGAAGAGCAGAATGAGATCTCATAAAATTAATCAACTTGACCAAGCTGTCCATCATTTCTTTCAGTGTAGCACTAAGTTTTCCACAAAGGGCTGCCTGGTGAATTATGCACTGATACGATATTAGACCTAAGTTTTTATCCCTGATTCTCTTTACTACACCTTTTTCTTTGCCAATTATTGCTGGGGCCCCGTCAGTTGAAAGCGACACCATTTTATCATAACTAATGTTAGATTTAGTAATAAATTCACCAATGACCTTGAATAAATCTTCTCCTCAAGTGTTACCTTTCAACGGCAATACTGCTAGCAACTCTTCCCTAAAAATCTGACATTCAATGTCAAGAAATCTTACGAAAATCGACATTTGTTCATCATCAACAATGTCACATGATTCATCAAGTGCTATGGCGTAGCAAGGTGCCTTTTGCAGAAGTTCAAAAAGAGTGTTTTTAATATCAGCAGCTAAAATTTCCGTTCTTCGTGTATTACTTCTCGCTGATAATGGAATTCTTTGAATTGCAGCGACAACATCTTTTTATTTTCAATAAGTGCCTTGACTACTTCCAACATACATTTCTTTACTATCTCATAATCTGAAAATGGTTTCTGGTGTTTATTAAGTGTCCAGCATACACGTAACGCTGCTTCTGTAGATTTTTCTTGTTCACTCATGCAACGAACTAGTAATTTCGTGCTTTTTTTTGTAAGTACTGAGATATGCCTGAAGTTTTTCTTTACAAGCCTCACTGCGAAGAGGAAAGTTTTTGTGAAATTGCTGATGAGTTGTTTAGTAGTATCGCTTCAAATTGCCACTTTTAACAATAGCGACAGTTTTATTACATATAAGGCACACTGGAACCGCTTGAGGCCTATCAGGCAGCGTAAAACAATATTGTTCAGTCTATTCTGCCAGAAACCTCCTATTTTCACTGTCCACTTTACGTTTTTTAGGATCCATATTAGCGTAGGTACGAAAATGTTACAAAAACGCAACAAATCACAAAACAAATAAACCGTTGCTCCACGGTTTGCGCTGCGACTGAACGACTGACGACTGGCAATTCAATGTATGGATGTTTTGTGTGCGTAACAAAGATTTAAAAATATTCAAATCACATCAGTTACAATTAATTCGCACAAATCGCTAGATAGGAAACTAATCAAACCATATCAGTTGTAGGTACTTGTAAAACAGGTTAACCAGGTACTAAGTTAAATTCTATGTGGCTTAAAAATATTATTTTAATTAATAAAGGTAAAGTATACCTTATCTACGTATTAATTTATACTTGGTATGCAATACATTACAATATTTGGCGGTCCGAGGTTCGACCTTTCGCGGTCCGCAAATGGACCGCGGTCCGCCTGTTGCTGACCGATGCCCTAAAGCAATGAAGACGTGAACTTTCCTAATTAGTAAATCACACTATATAGGTATATATTTAAGTAACAAAATTGTGTATTTAATATTTAATATTAAAGTAACAAACAGTGGCTTAGCAATGAGTTGCTGCGCTGGGGGGCGCGTGTTCGAATCCCGCACGGAACAAGTATTTGTATGGCCTACAAATGATTGTTCCGGGTCTGGATGTTTGTCCTTGGTAAATTTGTGTTTGTAAACTGCCTCCACGATACAGGAGAAAATCCTAGGGTGGGGGTTACGTTTTTTAAAAAAAAATGACCTGGAGAATAATAAATAATGAAACGGGCAAGGCAAACCGCGCAACTCGGATTTTCAATTGAATATTAACAATAATTTAACTCGATCTGATCAAGAAGTTGCTATGGCGTTTGAGAAGCATTTTACTGATGTTCCTTTTTTGACAACTAAATCATTAAACTCTTCTCCTACTGCGCCGAATCATCGCTCAAACAAAATGTAAAGGCTTGTTCAAATACTTTTAAATTCCATAGAGTACTGCCAAAAGATATCGTTAAATATTTTAAAACTATTGATGTTAAGAAACCGGCAGATTTAGGGGGGATTTCCGTAAAAGTTATTTTATCTATAATATTTATTTATTTATTTATTTACTTTATTGGAGACAAAACAGAAACAAAAGATATGAAAGAAAAACATACAAGTAAAATAAGACAATGGTAATTACAATTGTTTCCTACAAACTGTCTCACTAAGAACATACATAATATTTATATTATAGAGCAGGTCGTAATTGGTATCGTCTGCACAACAAGCAGGGTAACAAGTCTGTACTTAAATAAAAAGAAAACAATCATCTAACATGTACAATACTAAATACTAAATATCCTTATATATCTAATTCATAATTGTTACTAGAGTACTTATTAATTTAGTTTTAAAAGCTGAACGGGAGATAGAGAACATATCGATGTCGTTAAGCATTTTATTGTGGAGGACACACATTCTGTGTACTGGTGCTCTTTTACCAATATTGGTCCTGGTTTTTGGTATATGAAATAAATTTTTTGATCGTGTGTTTTTGGGTGGTATTCGAAACCTTACCTCGGATAATAACTGTGAACACTTAATATCACCAACACAGATATTCCTAAAAGTAATGGCGTCGATTAAAGTGCGTCGGTCTTTTAATGATAGCATTTGATATTTTGTTAAGAGATTTTCATAGGAAACGCGAGGTGAATGATTTCGATAGTTAACAATACATAAGAATTTCTTTTGGACCTTTTCTATTTTATCTTCATAAACTGAGTAGAATGGATTCCAAATTGGGGACACATATTCTAGATGAGATCTAACCAATGACTGATAAAGGCAGGTAAGAGTATCTTTGTGTTTAAATGATTTTGTTATACGTGTAACGAAGCCTAGCATTCGGTAGGATTTATTCAATATTTCTTCGATGTGCCTATCTAGTGTGAGTTTGGTATTTAAGTATACTCCAAGATCACGTATACTAAATTCTGATACAATTTTGTGACCACCTAAGTAAAAGTCCGCATGTACTACATTTTTGTTCCTAGTATATGTTATGTGTTTGCATTTATTATAAGCCAAGAATAATTTATTAATTTTACAATAGTTTTCAAGTCTGTCCAAATCGTTTTGTATTAATTTTATGTCGTCAGGTTTAGTAATGGTAGAGAACAATTTTAAGTCATCAGCGTATAATAAGAATTTACAGTGGTCAAAGCAAGTTGAAATGTCATTAATAAATAGGATAAAGAGGAGTGGCCCCAGTATTGATCCCTGTGGGACGCCAGATGTTACTACAACGGGTAAGGAAATGTAGCCATTAAACACTACCGACTGTATGCGGTTTTGTAAGTAAGAGGCAAACCAACGTAGAAGATTACCCTTGATACCATTGTATGAGATTTTTTTTAAAAGTAACAAGTGATCAACTTTGTCGAATGCTTTTTTAAAATCGGTGTATACAGTTTCAATCTGAGATTTATAGTCCAAGCTATTAAAAATAAAGTTAGTAAAAACAAGAAGATTTGTCAGTGTAGACCTGCCATTAACAAAGCCGTGTTGTTCCTCTAATAATGTATTTTTCAAAATTGAATATATATGATCGTGAATAAGTTTCTCAAAAATTTTAGGAATAGCCGAAAGAATTGATATTGGACGGTAATTTTCTACGTTGTTCTTAGAACCTGATTTGTGAATAGGTGTAATGTATGCTTGTTTCCATTGAGTTGGAAATGTTCCAGTTTCCAAACATTTGTTAAAAATTATATTGAGCGGCATGCAAATTGTATTAGAAGTGTGTTTTAAAAACACTGGCTTTATTTTGTCAGGTCCAGCGCCTTTGTTTGGATCAATGTTTTTTAAAGCAGTGCAAACTTCCAACTGTGTGAAACGTATGTCATGTAAGTTTGTTCCAGTAAAATTATCCTCTAAGTGTTGAGCTAATGTATATGCATTGTCTGACAACGGTTCAAATACGGATTTAAAATGATGTGAAAACATTTCAGAAATTATTTTTGGGTCGTCTGAAGTTTTGGTTCCCAGCTTCATTACTTGAGGATATCCCGTATTTGTTTCCTTTATATCTGAAGTATATTTCCAAAAGTATTTTATATTATCCTTTATTGAAGACTCAACGTTCTCTATATATTTATTGTAACATTTAATTAAGAGACGTTTAGCACGTTTTCTTAATAGGGAGAACTCTTGATAGTCACGTAACGAATTGTACGTCTTCCATCGTGCCCACATTTTAGATTTACGCCTAAGTGTATAAATTAAGCTATTAGAGAACCACTTAGGAAATCTATTTGTTTTAACTTTGACAAGTGGTACATAAGATTCAATAACATGCATAATTTTGTTATAAAATTTGTCAACTACAGTATCTATACAAGAAGAACTGAGTTCAGAAACCCAATCAGTCTCCGATATAGCAGTATTAATTTGGTCATAGTTTGCTCTGTAAAAATTTCGTTTTGTCTTCTGGTTGGTGATAGATATAATAGCACCTTATCTAGCCACTATATTTAATATAAGCGTCGAATCTGGTGTGTTTCCTAATTTAATGAAACATAGTAAAGTCATACCTATATTTAAATCTGGTAGTACATTAAACCCCGCCAATTTTAGACCAATTTCTGTACTACCAACATTTAGTACAAATTTTTAAAAAATAATTTTAGATCAGATGTTCAGTTTCTTTAATATTAATAAATTGCTACATAGAAATCAATTCGGTTTTACAAGGGGTCGCTCGACAACTGACGCTGGAGTTGAGCTTATTAAACATATTTTTTGTGCATGGGAGAATTCAGAGGATGCTTTGGGTATATGTTGTGACCTTTCCAAGGCCTTCGACTGCGTTCACCATGAGACATTAATCAGGAAGCTACAGTACTATGGTGTCAAGAACACAGCGCTTAAACTTATTATTTCATATTTAAGTAATAGAAAGCAGAAGGTTATTATCACCTGTACATAAGGACACCCAATTGGGTGTCCTTATGTAAAGGACAGGGCTCGATTCTCGGCCCATTCCTGTTTCTGGTGTATATTAATAACTTACCTCACCTTGTAGGGGATAGTCATGATATAGTATTATTTGCTGATGATACTTCCTTGATTTTTAAACTTAAACGTCAATCATTTAAATGTGACGAAGTGAATAATGCTATATCAAAATTAGTGCATTGGTTTAACGTTAATAATCTACATTTAAAGGGAAATAAACCTAAATGTATTAAATTTACAACAACGAATGTTAAAAATCTGAGTACCAATGTGTTTTTAAATGGGGAAGAACTGAGCCCTGTAGAATCCACTGTTTTTCTTGGCATCACTCTCGACGCAAAGCTTCAGTGGGGCCCCCATATATCCAAACTAGCATGCAGACTAAGTTCTGCAGCCTTTGCTGTAAAAAAGATTAGAGGTCTCACTAGTGTCGAGACAGCTAGATTAGTTTATTTCAGTTATTTCCATAGCATATGTCCTATGGGATTTTGGGGAAATGCGACTGATTCAGAAACTATTTTTGTTTTACAGAAGAGGACCTTTAGAGCTATTTACAACCTAAAACCGAGAGAGACTCTTAGAGATAAATTTAAAGAAATAAATATATTAACTTTGGCCTCTCAGTATATTTACGAAAATTTAATGTATGTTCACAAAAACAAAGGTAGTTTTAGTAAAAAAAGTGATATACATTCTGTAAACACTAGGAACAAACACAAGCTAGTGATACCAGTTTCTCGACTCTACAGAGTCAGTAATTTATTCTTGGGGCAATGTATACGCTATTACAACAAGGTCCCGGAAAGTGTACAGGCTCTCTCTATTAGCAAGTTTAAATGTTTTGTTAAGTTGAAACTGTATAAAAAGGGTCATTATAGTATAAATGAATACATGGTTGATAATAACCCCTGGGAATGAGGTGATCGCTTCCAAGCTGTTTCTAAAATAAATTTTGTACTTATACAGTGTGTCCGGTCACGACCTAGCGATAATTTAAGGTTATAAAATATACCTAATTTCATCGACAAAAATATGTGGGCCTACCCCCCTCCTGTCGGAATGGCTGCCATTTAATTTTTTTTATTCTTGTAGATACCTCTGCCAAAAGATGCAGATTTCTCTGGACAGGAAGGTCCTATATATGTCAAAGAAATGTTATTTGAAAGGTAAAAATAGCATCTATCAAATAAAAATAAACATCATGGAAAGTTTTCCCTACAAAATATCTTAAAACATTTACAATGCTAATTTAAGTAAAAAAAAATGACTGTTTTTTTTAATTTTTCTTAACATACTTCAAAAACTTGCACATTGATACTATATTTTTTAATACTATCCTAATACTTAAGGATATTACTTACAAACAGACTTTAAAATTATTGTTCTTAATTGCATAACTCGGGCTGTTTGAATATGACCCTTTTGCGACAGTCATGTATGTAGAGCCTCATAGAAGCGCTCATTGATATATTAAAAATACCCCTTTTAATATATCAATGGAAGCGCTATTAATTTTCGATAATGTATTAAATGAAAATGCACTATAACTTTTAAGAATCTTTTAATGGCATCAAGTATTATTATTAATTTAATAATTGTTCAAAATGTCCACCTTTATTCTGTAGACAGGCCACTGACCTTACAGCCATTTGTAGTGTGGCCCTTGATATTAAGGCTATGTCGGACCTTATGTCATCCGCAATCGTCATTATTTTGTCGAGCAGTTCTTGTCTGCTATTTGGAACTGTAGCACAAACCCTCTGCTTCATCCATCCCCATAAAAATAATCCAGCGGTGTTAAATCCGGAGAGCGAGGTGGCCAAGCTACCGTTCCACCACGTCCTATCCATGGTGAACATATTTCATTAAGAAAAGCTCTCACAGCGCATGCGTAGTAAGCTGCTGCACCGTCCAACTGTAGCCACATGCGCCTTCGGTTGATCACTGGTAATTCCTCCAAGATTTCTCTAAATGTATTCGTTAGAAAATCTTGGGCCATTCATGGTATTTGGTAATTCATTTGGTCCAATTAATTAGACAGAAGCGCTGGTTAAAATGATTTTTTGTCCTACTTATTAACCGCCCTAACAATAATACAAATCATCTTCCGTCCTTGTCATATAAACCCTATTCAATATAGCAGGTAGCTCTACATGGGTTTGGGACCGTCGCAAAAGGGTCATATTCAGACAGCCCTAACTCTTAAGTTATGCAATTAAGAACAATAATTTTAATGTCAATTTGTAAGTAATATCTTTAACTATTAGGACAGTATTAAAAATATAGTATAAATGTGCTAGTTTTTGAAGTATGTTGAGAAAAATAAAAAAAACAGTTTTTTTTACTTAAATTAGCATTGTAAATTTTTTTAAGATATTTTGTAGGGAAAACTTTCCATGATGTTTAGTTTTATTTGACAGATGCTATTTTTACCTTTTAAATAATATTTTTTTTGCATCTGTACGACTTTTCAGTCCAGAGAAATATCAATCTTTTGGCAGAGGTATCTACAAAAATAAAAAATAATTTAAATGGCGGCCATTCCAACAGGAGGGGGGGGTAGACCCCCATATATGGGTGTTTTTGTCGATGAAATTAGGTATATTTTGTATCCTTAAATTATCGCTAGGTCGAGACCGGACACACTGTATAGTTTGTACAACCATTATTGTAAAATTTGCTTTAAAAAAAAAAGTCCCGCTGGGTTTCTTGCTGGTTCTTCCCAGGACAGAGGTTTTTTTTCGAACCAGTGGTAAAGTAAAAAATGACTTTCAATAAGAATTACACATGTGATCTATATTGAATAAAAAAATTATTCTATTCTATTCTACTTTAAATAATATATGATATAAGAAAAAATTATTTTATTGAAATTGCTAATGATATTGATACAACATTGATAATGATTTTTATACAAAACTGATAATTATGTTGATACAAAATTGATAATGATATAAAACGCGTCCGCCATTTTCGGAACGAAAACGCGACTACTTGAAAAATAAAGTAATTGACGCAAATGATGTCGACCTAAATAAATCGATTACTAACAAAAATGTACGGTTGCACTATACATGCTCCCGGGCGAGCGAGAGAGTGATATGATAGATAGAAACGGATAGGTTTTTTGGAAGCAGTGATAAAAGCATAAATGATTTTCAATAAGTATTCTTGTAATGTTCATTGAATAAAAATGATTGTATTGTAAAGTATTCTGACCTAGAGTATGCGTGCATGGGCACCGCGCGCCTGGGCGTGTCGAGTAGGCGGAAGCGGTGCGTGGCGCGCGCCTTGAACGTGAGCGGCTCCTCGCCCCGCCCCTCGCCCCGCCCTGCGCCCCGCCCCGCGCCACCACCCTCGCCCAGCCCCGCCTCGAACACCTCGCATAGCACGCCGTACCCCGACACCATGGTTCCGCTCTCGCTGCACACCATACACACATTTCATTCATTTTGAGTAGTGAGAACAGAGAGCACAGAGAGAGAGAGAGAGTAGTCAGAACCATCCACATTCATGGAATGGTTTAGAGAAAGTAATCTGTGCTCCTATTACTATTCTATAAATATTTATAGTGGTTAGAAAGAACTGAGTTTGTGACATTTTACGTTAAATTTAGTATGTTCCAGTTTACCTACTCTCTATGAATACCTTGACTTGGATTAGAAGCCAAGAATCACGTCAGGTTAGGTGGTGGAGACTGCGGTAGTAGTGTATACATACTCGGGGCACAGCAGGCCAAAGAGCTTGTCATGGCTGATAGCCTGCGCTAGTAGTTCAGCATCGTGCGGGTCGGGCACTAGCATGGGCACGGTCTCGCCGGGGAACACGGCGCCCGTGTGTGCCGCCACCGGCACGCGCCCGCGCCACCCCGCCTCCAACACCGAGCGCCCACTCACCGCAACCAGCCCAGGGCCCATATACTGAAATACGTCACACTATATGAACAGGACATCAACTTAAACTCTGCCATAGGCCTGCCAAGCAGAATCCCATTAAGAATTTTGTTACAAATTGTATTGTCACTAATTGAAATAAGCTACCACAATATATGATTGATGCTCCTACAGTGAACACTTTTAAGAATAGATTAGCTGCAAGTGTGTTAATGTATTAATAATAACAATATATGCTCTACACTTATTAAATAATTATAATTCTATATGCTTACTTCTTAAATAATTTTTAAGTATATATTATTTATTTTTCTTTCTTTATTGCATTCCTTAAAACAAAAGAATACAAAGGGTGGACTTAATGCCTTGAGGCATTCTCTACCAGTCAACCCATGGTGTTCACGCCCTCAGTTGCCCCGACAAAGGTCGACCGTACCAGGGCCCATGAGTGGTAGTCGCGACGAGCAACCAAGGGAGGGGCCCAAATAGCCTATGGATAATTCTAAATTAATTGCAAATAAGCAAGCACAACTTACCAATTTCCGGAGGTAGGGTTGACCACAGGGTACCAGTCAGGTGGTAAGTGATGTGTATGTAAGTAGTGTGTAGTAGGGTGTACATGTGTAACCTGACATCCCCGATGAAGTCGGACCGCAAATCCCCAGGCGCTGCTTCTCTCCAAATGTGAGAGCCCTTCAGGGAGGCGTTCACCAATTGAAAACTTCTGCTTTCACTTCACTATATTAGTTTATCAACTTTATTTTACATTTAATTAACTTCAAAGTCAACCAACTCAACGTTCGTCGTAATTAAAACAAGTGACACACGACACAAGTAACGAACAGTCGTTCAAAGTTCAATATTCAATGTTCCGGGTTCACTTAGCACAAAATTACAAACACGTGAACGAACGCGGCCACTTCTCGAGTCTCAAAGTTCAGCGTTCCACACAACAAGGCAAAATTCCTTCGCACGATAGTAAAATGCCACGAAGCAACTCGTCGAATCAAATTAATGTCAATCAAAGATAAGTTAATAATTCAAACTCAATACAAGCCTGGTCGCAAACAATACTCAAAACGGTTACAACAAAATTATATGAAATCCGCCTCGTTGTCATGCAAAAATGCACGAGACAACTTCAACAAAGGCACTTAACGCGACGTTACAATTCAATATTAACTACCAAAAGCAATTAACCGGCAGACAGTCGCGCGACAATTATTTTTCTAGACTTTAAGACAAGCCTCGTTATCACGAAAAACAAATTAAGATAACGCCGTAGGAGGCATGCGACCGACCGTCGCACAACGACCTCTTTTCATACTTGTCGACAAAGACGCGGCGTTCAATACACTGTCGCTAGCCCACGCAGCCGAAAAACGGGAAGCGGCACACGCCCCCCCCCCCACCGCGGCGTTTACTTCACTTCAATACCATCGGGTGACGCGCCACGCACGCATCTTGACGCAAGTTTTTAATATATTACGATTTTGGCCTAAACACACGGAGGGGTGACAATTTGACATAGGTGCGGCAATATAGAATAAAATAACACTACACAAAATGATAATTAACTACATAATACATACATTTTACTAATAAATAAACTATACATATATGACGAATACATACATTTTTTTTATAGAAGAGGGGGCAAACGAGCATGCGGCTCACTTGATGGTAAGTGGCTACCGCCGCCCATGAACAACCACAATACCAGGGGAATTGCAGATGCGTTGCCGGCTTTTTAGAAAGGTGTAAGCTCTTTTCTTGAAGGTTCCTAAGTCGTACCGGTCCGGAAAATTCGCTGGTGGAAATTGATTCCACAAGGAAGTTGTGCGAGGGAGAAAACTTCTTCTAAATCGCACAGTGGTGGACCGCCAATTATCCAGGTGGTATGGATGGAAACGCGAGTTTAGTCGCGATGTGCGATTGTGAAATTGAGCGGCTAGAATTAGTCCGAACAATTCCTCAGAGCACTCCCCGTGATAGATACGATAAAATACACAAAGAGATGCAACATCTCTACGCAGTGCCAGTGTATCAAGCCGATCAGAAAGAACTCGGTCGTCGACGATTCGAACCGCTCTGCGCTGGATGCAGTCAAGTAGAAGGAGCTGGCACTGGGGTGCCCCGGCCCAGAGATGAGAACAGTATTACATGTGGGGGCCGAACTTGCGTTTTGTAAAGTTGCAAGCGATGTGCCGGCATGAAATACTGTCCCGCTTTGCTGAGCACGCCAAGCTTTTTAGAGGCCAATATGGCCTTCCCTTCCAAGTGACCACGAAACTGCACACTATTCGATATGTCTACGCCAAGGATTCCGATACTAGCTGAGGCAGCATGGGCCAAGGTTGGAGTGCCTTGAAACTGAGGAGATACGACAAAGGGGTTCTTTTTAGCGGTAAACGCGCAAACTTGTGTCTTCTGGGGATTGAACTGGACTAGATTTAGTCGGCCCCAATCCGAGACTTTGTTAAGCAAAGACTCGACTTCAAACACAAGTTTGTCCCGGTACTCAGCGACGTTTTCCGAGAAATATTGGCACGGCCGGTATATAAGACATCACCAGTGATGTCGTCTGCATAGCAATGAATGCTACCAGTTAGCAACATATCATTGATATGCAGGAGAAACAGCTTGGTGATAGCACGCAGCCTTGTGGAACACCAGCGTTGATAGGCTTGAAATCAGAGCATGCATTTTAACAGTGGTAGAGCCACGCGGCAGCTTTTGCTGTAGCACGGATAGGCCGGCTCGAATCGGGGTGGTACCACGACCTCACAGAGTACCAGCGTGAAGTAGAGGTTTACCTCTGCATTTCGCTTGGTGAGTGCAGGTGGCCGGAGGCCCTTTTTACTGGAAATGAGGCATTCCATCTTAGTCCTCACGGGTGATAACGCATCTGCATTTAGATTCGCAAACGAGGATAGATGTAGATGTCTATGGGCCGCAGCAACCACTTACCATCAGGTGGACTGTGTGCTCGTTTGTCACCCTTATCCTATAAAAAAATGCACCGTCTACTACAACCTTTATGCTCCGATCAGCAAGGAAACTAGTGATCCATTTGCACAATTTCTCGGTAAGCCTATAGGAAGGAAGCTTCGAAAGAAGCGCTTTGTGCCAGACCCGATCGAAGGTCTTCGCTATGTCCAAACTAACGACCAATGCCTCCCCCTTGGACTCTACTGCCTCCGCCCATCTATGAGCCAGATAGACTAGAAGATCACCAGCTGATCGACCTCGACGAAAACCGTACTGGCGGTCACTAATCAGCTGGTGATCCTCAAGGTACCTCATGAGCTGGCAGTTTATAATGGATTCCATTATTTTGGAGAAGAAGGAGGTGATGGCAATAGGCCTGTAGTTGGACGGGTCTGAGCGGTCGCCTTTTTTAGGGATCGGGTGGACCAAAGCTGTCTTCCATGAATTCGGGACTACGCCTTGGGAGTAGGAGTACCGGAAAAACCGCGTTAAAACCGGTGCCAACTCCGGAGCACACGTCTTCAGCACAATGGGAGGGACTCCATCGGGCCCACTCGACTCGCTGACGTCCAGGGAGAAGAGTGCTTTGCGAACCGAGCGCTGTGTAAACCGCACATGCGGCATGGAGCACTCACATCGCGGGATGGTCGGCGGTGTGTTCCCCCCGTCATCTACAGTCGAATTGGAGGCAAAAAGAGAGGTCAACAGATCGGCTTTCTCCTTTGCGGCATGGGCCAGTGAGTCGTCCTCTCTGTGCAGAGATGGAAGAGATGGCTGACAGAAGTTCCCTTGGACAGCCTTAGCGAGAGACCAGAATGCACGGGTTCCCGAAGGAAGGCGAATTAGCTTCTCGCCAATTCTCAGACCTTGCCTTGGCAATGACGCTTTTGAAGGACCTGGAGGCGGAATTATACTTCTTTTTAATTATACTGTGCGCTGGTGTTTACATCCCGAGACGTTGATGCGTCAGCCCAGGCCCGGTAGCACTCCTGCTTATAGCGTGATGCTATTTTACAGGAGCGACCAAACCATGGCTGGGATCTGCCACCGATGGGCACCACAGAGGATGGAATAAAAAGTTCCATACCCTGAAGTACCACATCAGCAACAGAATCGGCAACAACGCTGGGATCTTTCGGCGAGAAGCAAACCCGCCCCCAAGGGTAGGATGCAAAAAAAGACCGCATCCCGTCCCAATCAGCTGACCTATAGTGCCAAACACGGCGGCAAGCTGCAGATCGCAACTGCGATTGGAGCGTGAGTGGCACCGTACTCCGGATCAGACAATGGTCCGAAGAGCCTAGAGGGGCATCGACGGAAACCTGATATCCGTCCGGATGTGAGGTCAGCAGAAGGTCCAACAGGGAAGGTACATGGTCTTCCACATCTGGGATCCGCGTAGGCGAAGTAACCAGTTGTGTTAGACCATATGCCAAAGCAAAGTCATAGACAGATCTACCCGCATGATCGGTTAAACGAGAACCAAGCCATTCAGCGTGGTGGGCGTTAAAATCACCGAGTATCACGATCTCTGCGGATGGGACCTGTTGTAGCACGGAGTCTGCAGCCATTTGAACGTGGTCGATGAGTCGGTCTGTGTCGGCATTACCGCTATGGGACCTATAGAGGCACCCGTAGATGCGGGGATGGTCGTCGCTGTCTACGCGCAGCCATAGGATGGACAGGTCCGTACCTTCAAGACTGCCGAGGCGTCGAAAACAGATGTCCTCTCTGACGTATACGCAAATTCCAGCCCGGGGCACAAAGGAGTGTTCCAATTTGTACCCCGGGTAGGAGAGATATGAAGTATCAGCCGGAGAGGACACCTGAGTCTCGGTTAAAAAGAGCAAGGCCGGCTTCGCCGTCTCTAGATGGTAATGGACAGCGTTAAGGTTGGAATGAAGTCCCCTGATGTTGCAAAAATTCACTGATAGCGTGATAGGGGTCGCCTTGGTTGTATTGCTCCGCTTGCCCCGAGCAGCATTAGTCGCGAGCGGTATTTTGCCTCCCCCCAGAATACGCGGGACAGCCTGAGC